AAATACTACAAAGTGTCATAAGAATGAAAGCCATGTGTTCTATCATCTTTATCAGGGCAGTGTCTTAGCTACTTCTCATTGCTGAGACAAAATATCCAACACCTAAAGTTAAAGGTGAAAAGGTTTACTTAGCTTACAGTTTGTAGAGGTTTCATTCTATAGTTGTCTGACTCCAAGGCAGGGTGGTACGGCAGAGGGACACTAGAGAGGAGAAATAGTCCACAGCCACCAGCAGGCGAGAACGCAGCAAGCAGCAAGTCTAAGAGAATTTAGCAGCTTCTTTCTGCTCCATTTATATTCTGTTTAGGTTATCAGGATTAGGGTGGTGCCAAACTAATCAGTGGGCTAATTTAGCAATCACAAACCCTTAATCCCAGCATCACACACTCTAGATCCAGCCACCGCATCAAGGCGTTTTCTCAGCTTTTCACAAAGTGATCTTGGCAGGGCCCAGGGACACTCTGCCCTCTCTTTTGCTCTGCCTTCTTGGACAAGCCCCGCTGTCCTGAGGCCCTACTAAGCCTCCCTTCCTTTCCTGTACTCCTCCCTCTTTCTCCCCCTCTCCGTCAGCTCCAGAGGCTCAAACTTTATCCTGCATTTCTTCAGAGATTATGCAAGGGAGGGGCCCTGGCCTCTGCTCTTCTTCCCCAAGGATGAAGCCGGCCCATTCCGCAGGAGAACCCCATCCTTCCTCCCAGAACCCAAAACCCATCAGTAATGAACTTTGCAAACATCTGGATGTGGACATCTTTTAAAGTCTGGTGATGCTCATCGCTTTCTTATCTCTGGTGCACGAGCAGTGAAGGAGCCAAAATTTTCTGCAATTTTGTCTGAAGTAGTTACAGTAATGAAGGCAGGAAGGCAGAAACATAACATTTGGAAACCTGAAGAATTTCTGGCGCTGAGCAACTGTGTTTCTTTGACTATTTCCTGGGCCAGAGTTGGGAGCCCCACAAAAAGTATGGGCAAGACAAAAACATCTGCTGTGTGATTGAACCTCTCAGCCCATGGTTCCTTCGCACCTGCCCTGAAGTATAGCGGTGTCTGGATGTCTGTGCCTGCTGTATCTTCCCTCCTCTTTCAGGCTCTGCAGGGAAGATAAGGGGCCTTGTGGGTCATCTTAATGCCCATACAGAGGGGACTGAATACCTGAAAGCTCCGGTGCTCGGCTCTTCCTCCCTCTCGTCTCACTCTTCATTTTTATTCTTTCTTACTCTCCTCCTTTTCTTAACACTTTTACCCCTCCTTACCCTCCACCTCTTCTTCCTACCTTTGCTCTTTCTCTTCTTTTTCCTTCTGTATCTCTATGTCTCTCTCACACACATAAACATATATTTTAGCTGAAAAAGTCTCCCACTTAAAACATCTGCATAAGTTTTTTTCCATTCCCAAGTGTTTCCATTCACATTATGTGTACATTTTGAATTGTTCCAACCCCACTGAAAGGCAAGTGTGTGCATGCACGTGTATGTCAGTCTGCCTGCATCTGTGTGTCTGTGTGGTCAGTGGGAGAATTTAAACTAAAAATGGGTCAGGCATTCATAGATTCAGTTAATAATTTATTTCACAATACATTGTACCAATATTTTACAGGTTCTGGGCATATAATAGTGAATAAAGTGGGTACCATCTTTGCCTTTTTGGTGTTTACAATCTGCTAAGGAAAAGAAATATTTATATAAATACCTGCATTAAAGTGCAGAGCATGTAATAAAAAGGATAAACCATGTGGAAACATAAAGCAGGTATTCCCTAACCTAGCCCGGCAATAAAGGAGTACCCTCCGTGCAAGCTCACCCCCCACCCACCACACATCTCTTCTTCAAACTGAGACCAGTAAGTTGAATACAACTTACACAGATAGAAGAGGAATTATTGCAGAGAGATTGGAAGGCTGGTAAGCGATGAACGTCAAAGGAAAGGAGGATAACTATGAGGAATTAGATCGTGGGAATAAAGTACAGGAGCAGAGAGAAAAAGATGGAGAAGTCATCTAGGGTGAGTTGGGGGGGTAGATCCTGAAAGACCAGAGTTGCTTTTTATTTCTGGGTTCAGTGGGAGGGAATATAATCCTATAATGTAGAAGGGCAATGGATGGCCCATTTTAGAATAACAGCAGCAGAGTTTGGAGAAACCATAAAAAAATAGGAGTTTTTGAAAACAAACTGGCATGGAACGAGCTTTAATCTGTATTAAATGAGAAAAGTAAGAATCATGTTTCTATATCCTTTGATACTCTGGTTTTAAAAATCCATATACATGCATGTCATTACACAGGTTTTTCAAAAATAAACAGCAGATTGTATTAGTAAATATTCCCCAAGGAAAATCTTCAGAGGCTAGAGCAGAAGTAGGAAAGCTTTTCTTCTAGTCAAAATTAGGTACTTTTCAGAGGAGATGTTTTAGGGATAAATATCCACAGGACTTATAGTTTGTTTGGTATTAGAACACAGGCAGAAGTGCTGAGGGTCGACACATAGAATTCTGCTTCCAACAATTTTGTCCATCACATTTGGACAGGAACACCAGTGGAGGAGCAAGTTTGGTGAGGAAGAGCAGGTTTGGTGTTCAGTTCAGGACATGAGATGTCTACAAATTACCCAGGCAGGGTGGACCAGCAGATGAGGATATCCAAGCTGCTCATGCCTGGGGCTCTGGAGACAGATCTAAACTAAACAGAGGTGCTTGCAAATCGTAAGCTTACATGTGGTAACCTATGAGAGTAGGTGTGATGGCCCAGGTGATGAAAACACCATGTCACTAATGTACGTATCAGTATATTGTCTTTTTTGGTGCATCTACATGCATTTTTCTTTGCATATGCATTATGTGTACATGCATTACGTGCATTATACATATGTACATATGTGCATTTTTGTGCATATATGATCCCTTACTGTTGGGCATGCAGCTCTGTATTTGTGTATCCCAGTGAATCTTTCTGACCTCCTTGCCACTCAGAACAACATTCTTCTTAAAAGTTATTATGGCTTTTGTTGGAGGTGATGACAGAACTAAGATGAGATATGAGGACAAGGGACAAAGGGAGGCTATGTATGAGCCCTCATAAATGGCGCCTTGGACACCTGGTTCCAGATTTTCTTCCTAGCAGAGACGGTTTTCCTTTATTGTTGCTGTACACTTCACAACTCAGTACAGGGGCAAAGAGAGATGCGCGTGAAGATGACAGCCTTAGGGTACAAGGTCAGAGTCTTTGCTTTCAGGCTCAGCCATGAGTAGCTGCAAAACAGACACCTGAAGAATGGATCAGCTAAGATCTTATAGAAGAAATAATTGGGCCACATAGCATAACTAACCACCCATATTAAAAACACAGGAGGATGAAAATGAGGTGCAAAACCTCAAACTCTGACCTCAAACAGCAATGATCAGGCAACTCAATAACAATAAAATAATCCAATTTGAATGAGGCAACAAACTTGAATAAACATTCTCTAAAAATGTATAAATGTCCCTTAAATAAGTGTATGAAACTATGCTCAGTATCCTCAGTCTTAAGGGATAAGAAAATCAAAAGTATAATGAGATTAGAAGGGAAAACAAAATGGTGAAATGTGGAAAATAGTATGGCAATTTCTCAAATATGGAATTGCCCTGTGATCAGTGATTCCATGTTTAGGTATACTAGCAAACAAATTTAAAGCAGGAACTTGAACAGATATTTTAAGTTTCATTTTTATAGCAACATTATTCACAATACCGAAAGGTAAAAGAACCCTAGTATGCATTGATAATTGAATGAATAAACAAGACAGTGTGTGTGTGTGTGTGTGTGTGTACACAGAAGGAAACATCATTTGGTGTTAATAAGAAATGAAATTCTGATACTTGTTCCAGAAGGTCTAAACCTAGATAATATCAAACAAAATAAGCTAGACACTATTATTGCCTGATTCTACTTACATGGGGTACATAAAAAAGTCCAAGGGCCAGGGATTTAGCTCAGTGGTGCTGCCACTTGCCCCAGAAGCACAAGGGCCCAAGTTTGATCCCCAGTACCAAATAAGAAAAAAAAGTTTAATTCATACAGAGACTGGGAGGCAGAACAGTGGGGAATTATTGCTTCACAAGTATGACTTTCAGGTTGTGATAATAAAAAAACTTTTGTACATGATGAATGGCAAAGTTGTATAATAAAGTAAATGTATTTCATGCCACAGAATTATATGTCTATAAAAGATTAAAATGGTAGGTTGTATATTCATGTATTTCACTTCAAAAGAGGAATTTAAAGAAAGCAAGGATAAGGAACCTTTCTTCTTGCAATTTTCTAGTTGGTGTTTGGTTACTAGATGGGGACAGAGTCCTAAGAGAGGATTAGAAAAAGGAGAAAGGCCACAACCCCTATGCAATGTTTGACCCTTCCCATATTAAGTCCTTGGGAACCAGGCAGGCCCCACACCTTACTACCTTCTGGTGCCTGCCTGGGGCAGAAGAGAGATGTTTAAACATTAATCTACCCTCCCTCCCTCGTGTGTTTAGTTTCCAAGTTCAACTTCGTTCAGAAGGATACTTGCTGTTCTTAAGCTATATTTCCAACAATCCTTGTGGTATAGGCTGCAATACATGACCATTTCCCATCTCCAAAAATGCTGATGGGCCATAAAGAGCGAGAGAATGGATTCATTCATAGGAAAATGGATACATATTGAAGATATACTCCTAAGTGAAATAAATAAGTCACACATGTAAATACCAAATAGTTTCCCTGGTGTGAATATTCTGCAACAATGCATAAGATTCTAATGAGATTGCTGACATTTAGAAATTTGAAGAAAGGAGCTAAAGGTGTAGGGAAGGTGTGATGTGTAGGGGAAGAACAAAAAGGGAAAAGAAAAAAATGTGAGAGAATGAAAAGATGAAAATAAAGTGTTTGTAGATGGGGAGGGGAGGAGGGGTGAAGGGAGGGCAGAGGTAAGGGGAAAAAATGAGAATCAAGACTTGCCATGTAGAGGTACATGATCCCAACAATGAATGTAACTGTACTGTATCCCTAAAATGTACCAATAAACTCAATAAAATTAAAAAAAAAATGCTGATGGGAAGGGAGGGATAAGATCTTTTAGGAATTACTCTGTCTATGCCACCACATGATTACCAGCCATGATAGTTAAGTAATTCATTAGTAGAAATCTCCTTCTCTGACCCACCCTAGGCCACATGGAGTCAGACTGAATAGCAAGATTCTCATCAGAAGTGGTAAACCTCCTCTCCATCCTCCTCACCAATGTCCAACCCAAGATTCAAGTGTCCCAGTGTGTTTCGACGAAGGATCTCCCAGCCCCGGTGACTGCTGCTGCTTTGGGATGTGTTCCTGGACAGGGAGGGTGTCTGGGGGGTCAGGGACGCTCTGGCCAGGGTCCCACTCTGATTCCCAGAAGGCTGTTTCTCAGAAAGCTGCTCTTGTTCGTCCTCCTTGTCTGAGCTTTTGAAAGCTTCTACATAGCGAAGCACTCGCAAAGGATTCTGATCCTGGTGGTTTTCAACCCTGATAAGGGACAGTAGAAAGAACTCAGTTCATGATGGACCAAAGTGAGACACCGAGACAAATGTGGAGGAAATTGGATTGTAAGTTAACAGAAGGACAGGAACAGATTGAAGCAGAAAGATAAACAGGGATCAAGTAAGAAGAAACAGGTGATGGTGGAGGCAAAGTTGGGAATCAGATGAACAGTCAGATTTTAGAGGGGAGAGTCTGTGCTGCTAAACATGCTGATGTATAGAGTTTGAGAGGACGTAATTCAGGAAATACACATAAGGAGGAAAGAGAGCCATGTCAGAAGACAAGGAAAAGCATGAAGGGAGAAGTTAAGTTCAAGGCCAAAGTATATTGACAATTGGGACAAGAAAGGAAGAAGATTGAACATAAACAAGCACTGATCTGAGCGTAGTTGCAAGCACATAACCTTTTACGCGTGGTTGCCCCGAGGTACATTCTTTATAATTCCTTAATTTCAGGTCCATCTCCTTCTCAAGACAGGCTAGTGCAGTCTCCTAGTTGCCCACACTACCACTGCAGAAGACATCTGCAGGTCACATGTGCCCATGGTCACTCACCGCAAGAACCATCGGTCCCCCAGGCCATAGTCACACCCACGGAGTCCTGAGCGGGGCCACAGGAAACGGGGCATCTTCCTCTCCAGCAGCACTGTGGTGGCCACAACCTGGCAGAAGGTGTCACGTAGAGAGAGCTCAGAAAGAGCCCTGAAGTCCAGAGAGACACTGGCGCACAAAGGGAACCCAAAGCAACCCATGAAATGAGGACCCCAGAGACCAGTGGTGAGGGCCACCATTTGTACACCTCTGCTCTACCCCGCTTTCCTCATAAAAAAAGATGATATTGCATGTTTTGAATTTTTAAAAAATGACTCCTCCATTATTATTCAGACTCTTGGTAAATGAGAAATTTCAAACTAAGCTCTTTTTCTTTATCACAGGGAAGCCACAGACCAATGATCTTGATTTAAATAAAATAGTTAAGGAAACCTCCATGATCTCAGGGATGAAATGCTGCTACTCCAGTTAAGAAAATTTGCAGCATAAACATCTATATAGTAAAATGGAAAAGTGTCAATTAATGGCTGCCTGCTTGGCAGGGAAATTCCTAGTACCATGTCCATGTTCTGTTCTTTGCCCAGCCTTCATTAATCACATCAAGGAAACACAGCTTATCCCTGTGGTATCCAACTGGAAAGGGAATACAATATGTGGGGTGAAAAAGGCAGTAAAAAGCGATCTCACTAAACCAGAATGCTGTTCTAAAGCCAATTACGTGAAATTTAAGAAACTTGAAATGTGAAGTACTTTATTTACATTTCTAAAGCTGATTTAAATAAATTGTATTTCAAAAATTCTAGTTAATCATAAGCATAAAAAGAAGCAGGTACATATTTGGTAAAAGAATTGATTTTAGAAGCTATTAACAGTCGCATTAAGTGCAAAGCGAAGAAAGGCAGGAGCTCTCTGTGGACTACATGGTTCCCACCACATCAGGGACTTTCTGTTTTCAAAAGGACCATGATGTGTTAGCATACAGACCAATTATAGTCAGGATGGGGACACAAAGCCTTATTGATAGAAGGAGCTGACAATTCCTAAAATAGCCATTTCCCTATGTTATATTTTTCCGTTCCCTGGATGTGTCATTACTTCACTCTCAGTGTTTTTAGCTGTGCCAGGTTCCCTCCCACCTCCAGACTTTCCAGTCATACTGTTCTCTTTCCTAGATAGAACCTCTTTTCCCCAAAAAAGGACTTTTATGTTTTTTCTGGCATCATTCAGCCTCCCTTTCCTTTGGGCATCAGAACCTACCTTTTCTTCAGAGGTTTATTCCTTCTCCACTCAGAGTCTACTGTTAGAGCAGACTAGAATGCACCCAGTCTTTGTGTTAATCTATTTTTGCAAACAGACTGAGGAAGGAAGACCTCACTGTTGTCTCTGCTGCCAGTACCACTATAGTCTTTGGTCACACCTGAAATTAAAAGATGGATCTAGGACCCAAACTCACTTCCAGACACAGAACTAAGGCAGAATTTTCTGGAATCAAAGGTGCCATTTGAAAGCCTATAGTACTGCACAGTTTCAGGACATCTGATGTATGCAACATATATGGGGCCCTTGGGATTGTGCGATACTGGGAATCATACTGGGGCATAACAGAGGAGAAACAGTTCATGGCAGGGCAGGCTGGAAGCTGTAAGCAGCAGCAGCAAGCCTCCCTTCCCTTTTCATCCCATCCATGTCACAAGCCTTTTGGGTGGTGCCACTCATACCCAGAGTGGGGCTGCCTATTATCCACACCCAGAACTATGCTAAACCAATCAGTGGACTAATTTATTTACCATCTTCATACAACTTTAATATACATTCACATGCCCCAGATCCATCCACCTCCAAAAAATCCCCACCTATGAGCAGATGAGGCTTTGGAGGACACTAGATATGAGCCATAATAAACATGAACCTATCTAACAATAAAAACTTTTAAAACATAGAAAAATTTCCCTTCCCCAAATCCTGCTCACATTTACAAGATAACAAGGTGTTAATTAGCATTAAACAAGTTAAATATCCCTCTGACCAGAAATGATTATGTGGAATAGTTAGAATTTTTAACTAACTGTGAATTTTAACTTCTATTTTATGATGATACAAAGAAAAGATCATGGAGAACTAGAGATTTCTAGAATGAAATAAAAGATAAGGACCAAAGTTTAAAAATAGAATATATACGAACAAAATAATTTCTAGTCTCCAAGGGATTCAAGGAGGAACAGCGAACCTATTTGTTACCTGTGACCAATAGCACCACCCCCTCTATCTTCCATTTTATCTGCTTCTATCTCTTCCATCCATCTACATGCACCTGAGGCCTGAGGTTTATATAAACCTTAGAGTTGATAGCCCACAAAATTTTTTTGTGACTCTCCTAAGAGTGGCCCATCAGGATGGGGATTTAGCTCAGCTGTTCGGTGGCCTGCCTTGCAAGAGCAAGGACCCGAGTTCAATCCCCGGTAC